TTCAGCCACTGTTGAAACTGATCAGTTTCAGCAGCGGCTGAATCTGGACGCCAGTTCCGACTTACATACAGATTCAACTTAAGAACAAACCTATAGTCCCTATCTTGTACGTAACCCGGGGACTGCCTGTATATGAAAAGATTATGACACTTGCACTTATTTCTCATTCCACTTTGCTCAGTGTTACGCTTGGCTGTAAGCCTGCCATGCATCACAGGTCACCTGCAAAAACACCTCTGTTACATTTCCCAGCTGGTGCATTAATAGCCTAGAACATTGTGACAGATCTGACTGGGTACCCCATTGCTGGATTTGGGCTCATCAAATTGCTGTGAAGAAATCTAAATTAGAGTCAGTTGGAAATTTTCTGCCAAAACTGAGTGTAGTCAGAAAATGACAATTAGGCAGAATTAAATGTTTAATCAAATCTAGTAGAGATTCAACTAAATATTCATCAGATAGCATCTTCCCCCAGTATCAGGGGATGGGGAAGGACAGCACTGGTGGATTTCACCTAACCACCATTCCCTTAGCTCCAAGGGGACAGATAACCCCTGGGAGGCCACAAGGGTACACCAGGTGGTGCACCAGCCCTGCTAATCAACTCTCCCCCTCCCTCCATCCTCTTCCCACCTGTTCCATAAGCTCATTCGCCTGACTCCCAGTATGTCCTGTACACTGGGAACAACAGCTGTACTGCAACATGAAGGAGAACTAGGAGGGGAGAGGAGAAGTAGGGTGGCATGCATCTGAGGGAGGAAAAAGGCAGGGAAGAGGAAGGACAGTAGTGGAACCTTGTGGGAAGGGGGTGGAGTGAGGGCGGTGATCGGGGCTGAGCTTGGAGATCCACAGAAAATTGTAAATCAAAATGGGGGTCTTTGGGTTGCTAAAGTTTGAGAACCACTGCTCTAGGGGACAGACAGAGTGCCAGGACAACACCTTACTTGTTCTGGAACTTAAGCAGATTGGTGGGGAAACAGAGTGACCAGACTCTCTGCCTTTCCAATTTCACAAGAAACTGGTAAGAGTCCACCTTAAGAGTTAGCTGGAAAGCTAAAAAGTTATGTAACCCTTCTGCCAGGTAGTGCCAGCAGTAGCCAGGGCTGGGTGCAATATCTAGGGGTCCCTTTTCATCCATCTCACACACAACAGGCTCAAGCCCCCCACCCAGTAGTCTGGGAAATTCACACACCCCTGGGCGCCTCTGAAAGGCAATGTTTCCCCACTTGCAAGCACAGAGTCTGAGAGTAGAAAAGAAACTTTTAAAGAAAGAGAGAGAGAAGTCACGTGGCATTAGTTTAGGAAAATACCATAACCAGAGTTCATAACCAACCCATGAGTAACCATCCCAGCTCAAATGAATTGAGCAATGTTCTTTGCCTCTCAGGCTCACTAGTCCAACAATGTGAGGGTCCCATTCACCTACCCAAACTTTTTCCGTACCCTACTTCAAATGCCCCACTTACAGCTCTGTCCAGTCAGTGAGGACCCAGACACGTCACCCTGAGGACTCCACTCATTGAGCCTGAGGCCATGCCACCTTTGTGCTGCTCCTGTGGTCCACTTGCTCCACCAGCTGCCCTGCTGGCCACCTGCCACTGCTCCTCCCAGCTGCCCGCCGGTCATTCTCACCAGCCACCCTGCTGGCCGCCTGCCACTGTTCCTACCGGCCGCCCACCCACCGTCGCTCTCACCGGCTGCTCTGCTGGCTGCAATGTGTCTGGCTCCAGGCCAAACCAGTGACTTCAGCTCTTAGTGATTTCAACTCTTTAGCCAGCACCTAGGCTGGCAAAAAGATTCCAGCTTTCACTCAAATAACAAAAAGACTCCTGATAGAGCCTACTTTAGGTC